CTCACCCAACTAATATTTGTAAACGCTTTTTGACAATTTGCTTTGGCTCTCCACAGTCCATGCTAGTAAAAAACCTGCTTCAAAGAGAGGTTCTCTAATTGTATCAGAATCGATGATTAGGAAACTTTTATGTCTGCTTTGTGTTTCAAACTGCCACTACAGTTATGTTTGAGGAATTATTTTCTTGCAGTTTTTTAGAAATTCTTGTGATAAGAAGCTACTTTTTACAATCAGATTTGTAAAGTATGGTAGCTTTAAGGAAACTGCTGTTTGACTTTCTAAAAAACAAATATTTATAATTCACATGCAAACTTCCTGAAAATTGTTTTTCTTATCATAACTTTATAACCATCTTTATAAAAAATTGCAGCAGTTCCAAACGGATATAAGTTACCAAACCACAGCATGGCAACTACAAAAATAGAGAGCTCAACATCACTGAGCAGTGATCTTCTATACGACATACTTCGCCGTCTCGACGGTCCTTCTCTAGCGAAAGCTGCGTGTACTTGTGCTGACTTCTGTTCCTTATCAAAAGAGGAAGTATTATGGGAAAACGCATGTCATTCTCTTTGGCCTTCAACTCATAGAGATGATGTTAGGAGTCTCATCTCCTCCATTGGTGGGTTCAGACGGTTCTACGCCGATTGCTTTCCCCTTATTGTCAACGAGGACATCCCCGCCGTTCAAACCGACGACAATCTTCCATATCCCGCCGATTGGAACGAGGATGATTACTATGGGGACAGTGATGAAAATGAAACAATCTTCCCTTCTGATTTTGTTTCCATTGTTGATGTGAGGTACAAAGAGAAAACAGTATATTCAAAAGTCTTATGGGGAATTCCTGATTCTGACGGTTCTAATGGTTGGTTTCATACTTGCCCATTTCGAATCGACCTGCTCCGCTATTCAGATGGAACCGGTAACGAGGATGGTGATGTTATGCTCTCAGTTGATGACGGTTTGCCGTCCATCACATCTTTAGAGAGAGAGAGAAAAGATGGGAGATTGTGGAGGGATTTGCACGAGGGAATTGTGCTAAGCTGAATCATTGTGAATAGAAGATTGAAGCAAGCAGCGAATCTTACGAGCTGGAGACCGCTCGGGAGGCAGAGGCATTGGCCGACTGATCGAAACTTCGTTCTTCGATTCGGATCGATTCTTCCGGTGAAAGACATTCCCCCATGCCAGGTTGCAAAATGCATCATTGTGATGAAATTTAGTATTGTGGGTGCAGGGAATGGAGAGGGTGGTATGGCTACAGGTCTGAGATTAACTGAGTTGAGTATGCAGGTGGAGAATATGGCGGGAGCTCATGTTAATGGGCGGAATAGTCTGCTTGTTTTAAAAGAAGCTTTGAGTTGCAGGAGAAGCAGAAATTATGGGGAAGTGTTGGAGTACTGTCACTTGTATTTGAAGGCTCAGAATGAGTTTAAAGAGGAGAAAATCAGGAATGAAAGCTGGTTTGATAAGGTTTATATAATAAGCAGCATTGCAGTAGTTGCAGCTTTTTGCTTTTGTTACATACTTTGATAATGTAAAATTGTATTCTAGAAATGTTCTTGCCTTTTCTTTTTATAAATAGATTCACTTTGCTGTAGGCAAGAGATTAGTTTATATTTATCCTGTGATGGGCTGTGTTTTGACAATATATGTAGTTGTTTTATACATCGACATTAGATTGTATGAAAATTTGTGTATGATTGACTTAGATTTTAGAAGATAATAAGCTCTATGGTTGCTTTTAGGAGGAATAGTGGATTTTACTTATTTTTATGCTTAATGCTGAAGAATTATAATAGATTTTTATGAATTTAATTGGCAGTTATTTGGTTATGTGAAACATGAAGATCAACTTTATTGTTTTTTGACTTTGGAAAGTTTAGAACTAAAGTTTGTGCCAGTGGATTTTATCTCATATCTAAGGGAATAATGCTTCAGGTGGTAGATATGTAAATACATAAGGATTGTGTGGTAGATTTGTAAATACATAAGAATTGTGTGGTAGATATGTAAATGCCCCTATACCACATAATTCTTATGTATTAACATATCAAACACCAGAAGTTTGATATTTACACTAATAACACCTTATGTTTACCTATGCATGAAAAGATGAATTTCAATTTTAAAAATTAGAGACGATAGTTATTTGATATAATGTTAGATTTGGGTGGTATGAATGTAAAAAGAACATGATTTACAGCATCTGGACCCTAAGAATCCTTGACGGTGCTCTAGAATAAGATTTTCTCTAAATTTTCTCAAGTGATAATAAACATGAATGCACCTCTTTTTCAAAGCAAAACATCACTGTTTATTTGTCTTTCCAGAATCATTACCGTTCATTCATGTCATTAAGCAGAATGTGTACAGAAAATACAGTAACTATCCAAATGTTCTTCACAAACCAGATTCCCAAATAGCAGCAGCTCGTTCTTTTACAGTTTGATAGAAAGCCTGAACAAGATGAAGAAGGAAAAAATCTGCTCCATCTCTTGCTAACAGAGAAACTGAAACAGGAAGGCCATTCTGCATCCCCAGTGGAACAGAGATCTGTATACAATGCCAGAAAGAAAAAAAGACGAAAAATTTACATACATACCACTCAATTCCTATGGATTTACATCTCACACCTAAATTGCAATTTTTATAAATATGTCATCTTAAGGGTCTGTTTGGGGCAGCTGCAGCTTATCTAGCTTATGCTGATGAGCAGCTTATCTTGATAATCTGCTGATGAGCAACTGATCCGGATAAGTTGGCTAGTTGTTTGGTTTGTGCGTTTGAAAAACATCTGATTCTGAAAAAGGACTATTCTGCCCCTGTTCTGAATAAATTATTTAGTTGTTTGATTTGTGTATTTTGTAAACAGCTTATATAACAAATATGGCTTCCCAATGAATATTTGTGAGCAGAAGTATGAAATCCATCTTTTTGCAACCAACAAATCACAAGCTTATATGTCACTCACTTTTTTGTGATTTAACTGATGATTTTGAAAAGAAATTTGATTTCTTTGCTTATTTATTGATAGTGTGGTTTATCTACTTATTCTTTACCTAGGAAAAATCAAACAAATTGGATGCTCCTTTTCTATCGTGCCAAAATCATAAATATAACAAATAAACACCAACCTAACCAAATGAAAAGTACCGTTGTCAAGAGAAATTATTCTCATTTCATACATCAAGAAAATTGAAAGCCAGTGCAAGACAACCAAAACTAAAGACCAGACAAACGAGAATCGTTTTCTAGTTTTAACAGATGCAGTCAACAAAACCAAGTTTTAAGTCAGCAAACATGATGAGATAAAACCAGGTAATGGGACCTTTACATACATACACCCACTTCTTATGAATTGACTTATCTAACAACTAAAGTTTTCTTTTGTACATTTATACCACACAAATCTTTCATATCATATAAAAAGTACCACATTACAATTTTTAAAAAGTGAAATGAACATTTCATGCATAGAAAAGGTGGTGCATCTAAAAATTGAGGTTTAGGCGTTATCTATGTAAATACATAGAAATTAAGTGGTATATATGTAAATCTTCCAATAAAAATATTTTCCACTGCTGCCTCCACTTACAAGAAAATAGATATACCCAAACATGGTATATCGAATAAAACGGAAAGAAAGCAGAACTCACAAAAATCCCATTTTTTTTAGATAAAAAAGTTAGCACAGGAAATGATAAATCAAAGCAAGAACGGGATGAATCAAAAGGACCTGAGGATGAGGACAGCTGGGTTTAACGATGACCATGAAGTGCTGCAAATCCCAGGCTCCGAGAGAGTAAGCATCCGACACAAGCATCTGTGCCGAACCACGAGGAGCCCTAAGTGGCACGGCCGTTACATAGATCGCGGCTCTTCCTTTAGCTTCTTTGCGCTTGGGAAGAAGAGGTGAGGGCTTTGGGGAAGAAGAGGTGAGGGTGAGGGAGAGAGGCGACGGACACCGAGCGAAGGAGGAGGCGGACAGCAGGAGTGCACGAGAGTAAACAACCATTCGAACGCATGTCGAATCCGCAAATCGTGAACGAAGGAGTGCCAAAGAAGGAAGAAGCAGAAGGAGTGCCGAAGAAGGAAGAAGCAAAAGAAGAGTCCTAAATCGCGAACGAAGGAAGAAGAAAGAAGCAATGTCGAATCCGGGAAGGGGCAGCGGAGTAATTGGGGGCTAAACGCGATAAGGGAACGCGGATCGCGGGGCTAGCCCCGCGATCTGTGTGTAATGAAAAATAGGAAACGGAGTTTTGATAAACACATCTTCAACGCGCGAAACAAACAGTGAGGCGGCGTCGCCCTTATAAGTTGTCCCAAATGGGTCTTTACCTATGCATAAAAAGGTGTATTTCACTTTCTAAAAGTTAAATAAGTGGTATTTGTGATGTGATACGAAGGATTTGAGTTGTACAAGTGTAAAAAAGTAAAGTTTAAAGGTTAGATATGTAAATACATAGGAATTGGATGGTATTATTGTATCAAATATTAAAGGAAGGAAAATTCAAATTTGATTACCTGGCAAAAGCCAGACATGCCTGCAACGGCTAGCAAACTGAAAGCTTTGGCACGAAAGTCGCTCAATGTAATACCATCCAGGTTGAGGTTTGGAGGTGGCCCTGGAACGGTAGGTATTACAAGGACACCGTAGTCCTGAATAAAGAAACAAGAGAAGAATTACACTATAATGTTGCCAAAGAGGCACTAATTTGCAAAAACTAAGTAGTCTGAGGCCAAAAATGTAATTGAAAATTTAAGAATTGTAACTCCCAAAAGGTCAGTCCAAACAGCCTTGAACTCAGCCTTTAATTTCCAGCAGCTTTCTAAATTATCATCTGTTGATGCCAGGGCATCCATTACTCTTTCTGATATTCCAGGACCCAAGTTGGGTTTCACATTATTTAACCATTCCTCATGATTACATTTAAATTCAAACCTGCCAAAAAAAGCAATAATTCAGCATTATATTTTATACTATCTTCTCTATGAAAATTGTATAACCATAGGATTTTGACTATGAACTTAAAAATATTTTCTTAGTAGATCAATGTTTTCAAAATTAGAGTAGTAAATTGGTGCCATTGTAGAGGCTAACTTCAGAAACATGCTAAACAATTGAGTAAAGTGTCAAAATAGTCAGTTGACTATTTACATATGGTCATCTTTGTCCCAGAGTTTAAAAAAGTATTAAAATAGTCTCCATACTCTTAACTAGGGGTGTAAATGAGGCTCAATTCGTGTTCGGCTCGTTTATATTTCAAGCTCAAAAAATGTGTTCGTGTTCGGCTCGTTTGCTCAGCGAGCCGAACATGAGCTGTTCACGAACAAAGAGTCGTTTTGACAACCCTAATCTTGTAGCCATATGATGTTAAGGGTTGGGGTAATATTTAAAAATTATTGTTTATATTAAAATATCATTTGAATCTAATTTAATAAGTTTTATTCCATTTTCTTAATTAATATTTTTAATTGATTATAAATCTTTGTATCCTTGTAGTCAACTAATTTTTTTAAAAATACTAATCATATATATATATATTTGATGAGTAATATTTCAAGCCAAAACAAGCCGAACACGAACAGACAAATTATTATCATAAAACATTTAAAATCATATATTAACCTACCAAATACATTAGCAAATGGGTAACACAAGAGAAAACATATCATATGCTATTTGGGAGGAAAAAAATGATTTTTTGTGACATGTGCTTGATAGAGAAAGAATTAGGTTATAGGCCAACAATACATTTCAACAAAGAAGGCAGACAGACAACAACAACAGAAAATCCTTAATCCCACTATGTGGGGTCGGCTACACGAATCCTTTTTCTCCATTACATCCTATTTAGTGTCATATTTTCATTAAGTTATAATAAATTAAGATTATTTTTTTTACAATATGCCCGAGTCTTCCTAGGTTTACCTCTGTCTTTCTTAACATAAGCGAATCTAAAACATCTACTTTCCTAATCAGACCATCAAATGGTCGACGTGGATGGTCGACGCTTAATGTGACCAAACCATCTAAGACGACTTTCTTTAATTTTTTCCGTCACAGGAGCTACTGAGCTACACCCACCAACCCTATCACGGATATATTCATTTTGCATTTTGTCTCTAAGTGTAAAGCCACTCATCCACCTAATCATTCTCATTTCGGCAACACTTAACTTAGTATTATGCTTCTCTTTTAAAAACCAACATTCAGCGCCATAGAGCATTGCAGGTCTCCTCACCACCGTCTTATAAAATTTCCTTTCAGTCTAAGCGATACTTTTCTATCACACAAAAAGCCCGAAGCATCCTCCACTTCAACCAACCAACTTGAATTCAACTATTAACATCCCCATCTATATCACCATCACTTTGAACAACAAACTCGAGATATCTAAATCATTCACACCTTTTAATAATTTGATCACTCAAAGTTACACTTCTGTCACTAGAGCTACTACTACTAAAATTACATTCCATGTATTCAATTTTAATTCTACTCAAATGAAGGCCTTCAGACTCTAATGTAGACCTCCATAATTCAAGTTTTTCCTGGGTTTTTTCTCTCGTCTTATACACGAGAAGTATATCACTTGGCTGACAGAGTATTACAAAGAATTTTCAAAAGAAAACTAGAAGATTGTATGGTCGAACTAAATTAAAGAATAAATGAGATCAGTTATAAGAAGATTGAAAATTTTTAAAAAGAACTGAAAAGAGGATCTACCAGACTTGGATGGGATTTAATTAAAAACACAATAAATGCATCAAGGGATTGATGGAAGGAGAAATTAGAGGTGGTTTGAATTTTAAATAAATTGTAATTCTATTATGTTATACCTAGAATTACTTGACATTACTTTTCTTTTTGATTGTATGAATGACAGGTTGTGTCAAATATTAATAAATTTAGATTTGATGGAATTGAACCTGAGCTAGAGGATAGGTTTGAACTCATGTTTGGTGCCATTGTTGCAACAGATTGTAATGTCTGGACTCCTCAAGAAGCAAGAACAAAGAGATGACCCCAATAAACCAATTTAGAAATCATCGCACAACATTAATGAACACAGTGATCCAGTCATGTTGGGATGTCACCTTCCTTAAAAGAAAGGGCAAGTCACAATAAAAAGATTGGACCTCCAAATTTGAGGAGTCAAATATCATAGTTGGTTACAACATGTACTAATTTATCTTCTGAATCTAGTGACATAAAAACTTCATCTATTTCTGAAGTAAGAAAGATTTTAGAGCAAATTGCTGAAGTTTATAAAGATATGCATTATGTCTATACTTCATGAAGCTACTTAAAAATCCTGTCAAATGGGAGTTCATCATATCTATGGCCCCTACGCAGATAGTTCACAGCTTGCACTTCTTCCACGAAAATCATGATGACTAATCTTTATCATTTCTATGTTCTTCAAGGGGGGTCTGTTATTAAGTATTTTATTTATTTTTCAGTGAAGTCTGCTTATTACGGAAACATTACGTTGGTGTCTACGTTTTTTTTTTTTATTTTATGATAGGACAATTACCTATTGTAAAAGTTTAATTTTGTTTTTGTGATGTCATTCGTCTTGTATTGAAATGTGACATGCTCATAATATATTTCGTTAAAATGTTAGTAATTGTCATATCTTATAATGTAATAATGCTCCTAATTTTTTTCAGCAATGGATGCTACTAATAGAGAACATTACAAAAAAGTTATTATAACAGTTGTATGTCTGTTGACCAAATACTACAAATCGTTTTCTTGGACTCCATGCATGACCTTGACCTTCACGAGGGATAAATAGATAAGTGAAATGCTTGAGGGCCATCCAACGAGGTTTCATAACATATTTCACATGAGTCAGGAGATATTTACTGATCTTTTGAATTAACTCCACCCTAGTTATGGTTTTCATAATTCTTCAAGAACGACATCACGAGAGGTATTAGCTATAACATTACATATTTTATCATATAATCAATCTATAAGAGCAGGTTGCAAGAGATATCATCACTCAACCAAAACTATCAGTAGATATTTTTTAATGGGTTTGAATGCTTTGGTATGTGTGTCTTCCAAAATCATAAAACTTGAAGATCCAACTTTTGAAAACATTTCTAGACAAATTTCCTATGATCAACAGTGTATGTCATACTTCAAGGTATGTTTCATGCAAACATTTTTCAGACATAAATTTTGAAATCTAAGCTAAAGTAGATGTGATACATCATTGTATTGGTATCATTGACGGGACATGTTCACGCTTGTGTCAAATACTAATAAAATTGTATACATTGGACTGTGTGATGCATCTACATAAAATATGATATCAGCATGTAACTTTAATATGTGTTTTGCCTTCGTCATGGCTGGGTGGGAGGGTAGCGCTCACGATAGTAGAATCTTCAAATTTGCTACCCGTTCCCATGTGCACAAATTTTCCCTCCCACCTAAAGCTTAGTTGACAACCTATCAAATAGTTTATTAATTTCAGTCAAACTGGCTAATTACTAATGGTAAACAATTTGTGTAGGAAAATATTATTTAATTGACGTCGGTTACCCATTACAACGAGGATTTCTTTAGCCATTTTTTAACACAAAATATCACATACCAAATTTTGAGAGGGCAAGCCAAGTTGTAAGAGGAAGAAAAGAGACGTTGAATAAACGTCACTCATCATTACGTGATGTCATTGAGAAGGCGTTCGATGTTTGAAAGAAAAAATGTGTCATTTTACGAGATATGTCAATATATTCTTTTGAAAAATAAGTTAAAATTGTTCCCACTACAATAACTCTCCATAATTACATACGACGTCATCATTCACAGTTTGATGTTGATTTTTCATTGTAGATGGGAAGAAACCAGTTCCTCCAAAAGCATATGATTATCAAATGGGACAAAAAATTACAGACCATACTGATATCGCTAGTCCAACCATAGGTGTTGGAGATGGTGTCGAAGAGATGGCTGAATTACGTGAAGCTATCACCGATTCCTTAGTTACAATTGATGTATTATATTGTAATTCACTATTATTGTCGGAAGAAAATTTTAGTACTTTTTATTGAGTGTTCTTGTATTTTTTAGGTATAGTAAGTTATAATTTTTATGTATTCCTATAAAGAAAATGATATCATTTCAATACCAGATCAATACCACTCCAATAATATATTCTCCCAAAATCGACGACACCACCCCAATATCACATCAATATCACCCTAATACCACTTCGATATCACCCCAATACTATAATACCACCCCAATATCACAACAATACCAGTTGAATAATATATGACACAAAACCCCCGATACAACTTCAATACGACATCAATATCACCCTGATACCACCCCAATAATATTTTTGGCAGAAAACTCTAAAATCACCTCAATGCCACATAAATATCACCTCAATGCTACCTCAATATCAACTCAATACCACCAAAATAATATCTTGGTACAAAGCCCCCAATATCACATCAATACCACCCCAATACCATCTTAATACACTAATACCGCCTCAAGACCACACCAATAATATTTTGGCATAAGACCTCCAATATCACATCAATATCACCCCAATACCACATCAATGCCACATTATGACCGCCTTAATACCACCAATAATATTGTGGCATAAGACCTCTAATATCACATCAATACCACCCCATAGTATCTTGGCACAAAACCCTCAATATCATCTTAATACCACCCAGTACCACCTCAATCCCACATCAATACCACCCCAACAATATCTTGACACAAAACCCCCAATACCACATCAATACCACCCAATACTACCCTAATAATATATTGGCACAAAACCCTCAATACGACCTCAATACCGCATCAATAACACCCTAATATTACCCCAATACCAACCCAAACTATGTGGTATGTATGTAAATTCTGGTTTTGGTTCTCATGATGAAGTTTGCTGAATTTTGTTTGGTCTAAAAACACATTTTTTTTAATTTCAAGACAAAGCTAACCCTCATTGGAAGAATTTGTTTTTGGCACATGTATTTTACTTTCTTTCAGTTAATATGGTTGTATTCTTTATGAAAGATTTGGATAATATCAATGAAAAAAATTAGAGATTTTATTAGATATATAAATGCAAAGAACTCCGGTAGTATGTATGTAATGCCCGTTATTTATACAAACTATGCATTTCCTTTTCTTTTCACTTTTTTTTTTTTGCATTATTATGTGCTAATCATTAAATTTATAAGATTATATTATTAAAAATGGGCTCAAGCAATTCGACAAGTTCCAATGGGACAAAACATTGACCAATTTCGTGATTGCAACCTATTATGCATTGTCTTCAAGGCACAGAAAGGTGATAATGCTGGTTGAATATTTTATAGATGTCCAAAAAATTTACAGAAATTTAACAAATACATATTGTAAACTTTTTCAATGGGTTGATGAACCAAGAGATGCAATATTGGAGCGAGGTAATCAAAAAGATAAATGCTCCTGATGATATGGTGAAAAATGGTCTCAAAGACTTAAAATTTCTTGTGAAGACCTTGCTCTTGTTTGATTTTGTAATCGTATCATTGTTGTTATTATTGTTAACGTGTATTTGCTTTGATGATGTTGTTGTACTTTGGAGAACAAGCTGTTTTTTTTGTAAGAAAACTTGTATGTTTGGCTGGGATACAACTTACATTGAATATATTATGTTTGTATGATTATTTTGAGGGCATAAAATTGGGTTAATATTCACCTTAAATTCTTTTATAGGGTTGTCAGTAAAAATAATTTCAAAAATTAACAATAGAATTATTCCACAGACAACACTCTCAAAATTGTGTTTTTCAAACAGAATTGTGTATATATATACTAAGGGGCATTACAGTCATTAGCTCACAAGAATCACTTTCAAAATTGTACTTTTCAAATAGGCCAACTACGTCTGAAACATCAGTTTCTAAACAACAGATTTTCAATGACAGCTTTTGAACTGAGATTTTGTACGACCACACCCGAAATAAATGCACTATAAAATGGCTCATTGCAATGAATCAGGAAAACATTTTGACATTTCTCTTCTAAATAATTTAAATGTAAGTTATATTCATTACTGGTATTTTATTTATAACAAATCATAGCAGGTTAAGAAAGGCTTAACAAGCAAAAGACAAGTCAAACTCAGACGGAAAGTAATAAAGTAGCACTTCAGGATGAAACAGGAGAAATTTCACAATTAAGTTGTTTCAGAATTTGGATTGTGTTTTAGACAAAAGATGAAAATTTCAAAATCTGTGATATTATTCATTCATGACGACAAGATTATTCATGAGACAAGTACTCGATATAGACATCTTTCAAATTTTATAAGTCATACTTTGCAATTAGGGGTGTAAACCAGGCCTAGCTCATGGTCGGCTCGTTTATATTTCAAGCTCAAAAAGTGTGTTCGTGTTCGGCTCGTTTGTTTAGCTTATATCCATTAGTGGTATTTTATTAACAATTCATAGCAGGTTAAGCAAGGCTTAACAAGTAAAAGACAAGTCAAGCTCAGACAAAAAGTAATAAAGTAGCCCTTCAGGATGAAACAGAAGAAAAATTTCACAATTAAGTTGTTTCGGAATTTGGATTGTGATTTGGACAAATGATGAAAAATTCAAAATCTTTGATATTATTCATTCATGTCGACAATGCTATTCATGAGACAAGAACTCGGTATAGACATCTTTCAAATTTTATAAGTCATATTTTGCAATAAAAGAAATTTTAAGAAAAGGACCTGCAAGAGATTATCCCATCTACTGATGCTTGCTAAGAACGAAATGGTTCAGTGCAATGAGGAGTTCTGCTAATCTAGATTGTTCTTGTATCAATGGAGCTGAAAATTAGAGAACTTTTTAAAAATCGCCTTAACTTAAATTTTCTAAATAAAATCTACATAATAAAAAAAAAAATAGCAAAATCGATAAAGTCAGGAACTTAAAACGAGAAAGTAGGGATTGTCCGTAATTTAAAATGAAATAATAAAGATTATCTGAGATTTAAAATGAAACACTAAGATTGTTTGGACTTTAAATCTAGACAATAGCACATAATTTGATTAACAGCAGCTATTTTACCTATTTAAATTCATCCTTATAAATATAAGGATGGAGAAGGTGTAATATTTTTTTTTTTATTAATTCCTTTGTAATTATGATATTAATGAAGTCTCATCAGTAAACTATCAAAGTCATATTAGGCAAATTTAATATAGCAAATAAAGCACAGAATAAAATAGGCAAGAAATAAATTCAATCAATATCCACATACCTCTGAATCACACGCAAGGCATACGACAGAGCGCCTAGTGCTGGTATTGGAAAAGCTTGACTTTCAGGGACTGTATTTATAAAATTTCTTGAAATAGGAACCTTCTGAAGAATATAATCTCCAAGGTTTTCATAGGTAATCAGATGACCTGTTCATAATTTTTGCTTGTTTAATAAAAACTTCTAAGCAAAAAAAATGATCCACTGGTGTGACTTGATAAGTGAAAAAACAAAACTGTAAAATTACATGCACTAACTTCCAAAAGTGGCCCGGACAAACTCGACGACAATATGAGAAATTTTTTCACCAAGTAGTCCAAGATACTTGAAACAGTCATTAGCGATAATAAAGCGAGTTGGTTCTACATTTACTTCACCGGGCAATTGCAGTAAAGTATGGCCGACTTTGCTTGTGGTCACAGGATCTCTTGCAAACCATCCTGAGGATAGATTTGTAAAAATAATTGTAAATAGCATGAAAGTATCGGTACATTGAAGAGAAGGGCAACACAAAGAATTTCTAGTATATATCCACCAAAATACTTCATAAATGTTAATGTTTACGGATAAATATGGTGGCTCAATGGCGACAGGGTTTTTTTTTTTTTTTTTTTTTTTTTTTTTTTTTTTTTTGAACGAAATACATTGCTTTTGTTTTGAGTTGTGGACCAATAAGATGCTCATTGTACCTCCATAAAATTGTTTAAAGTGCATCAGCAACTTTAAATTTAAAACGAGTATAGCATCTAATCATAGAATTGCCACTCCTAATAGAACATATATGAGACCAAAATTAAAAAAAAAAAGTATTTACATATCTAACACCCTAAGTTTGATATTTACACTATAACACCTTATTGTCATAAACCACAATGTCGTGATGCTTGTCTAAGACAAGCAAAAACATCATTTTATTAACACTTTCCAGTATAGCCTCAAGTGAGAGTGAGTTTCTCATAATTTTTTGTAATAGATATTAAAAGTTTATCTTTTGAGGCAATAGCATCATTTTAAACAACCCACCGGGAGAAGGGAAACATGTCGAAAAAAATAACCGCTCTAAGATAAGAAAAACATATCAAATATCACAAAAATATATCAAATTGAAGCATTTTTATATAGGGGCATTTACATAGCACACTATTCTAATGTATTTACATATCTCACACCTAAACTTATTTACACATATAATGATATGTCATCAACAAATTCTCATCATCCAACATGAATCTCAAAGCATGACATGGATCTCAAGATAACTTTTTGAGCAAAAAATATCAAATTTCAATTAAAATTCATCCAGAGCTCCAATTTCAACGAACTGACAATCAAACAAACCAGCTCAGCGAGATAGACTCAACGGTATCAAAATTGATCCAATCACAGTCAAATCAATCCCCGATCAAGCCATTAAACCACTTTTGAAATCATTCTGGGAATATTTAGAAAGTCAAACGGATTTCAAATTGGGCAAGTCAATAGTCAAATCGAGCATATCGACAAGACGAATCCAAAGAACCAAAATCGTTTAATTCCTGTATCGTTAAGATACTAAAATATCCATAAAAACCCATTATATTACGGAATTTTTTTCTTGTCGTCCAAGTAAAATAGTTAATATTCATTCATTAATTGCAACCGGAACTCTATAAATAGAGTCTCACCCATGTCATGAAAAGGGAAAAGAGCTTGAAGTCTGAAAAAGAGCTTGTAACTTGAAGGAGTTGAAGTTCAGCATCACTCATTCAGTCACCGACCGTCATCGGTCAGCATCGACCGCTGCCTATTCCTTGCAATGAAGCACCACACGAAACAACCTACGAAGCGACGCATCATCCCGAGATCAGGCTGACCTTAAAGACGGTGCAACAACTACCTTGAAGATGGTATAACAACGCACCCCGAAGGCAGTACAACAATGCACCACAAATACGGTGCAACAATGCACCCCGAAGACGGTGAAACAACGCACACCAAAGACGGTGCAACAGAGAATCTCAAAAATGGGGTAACGACACATCGCATATGCTCGTGTAGCTCCTGACTCCGGCCTTCATAACCTACGAACGTCATTATTACTCACCACTACGACCTACATAACAAACCGCGGCCTATGTGTTCCAAGACTCGTGTAGCTCCCCACTTCGGCCCTCGCGGCCTACTGGTGTCATTACTACTCACCAATATGACCTACATGACTAACTATGATGAATGAGGTGCATAGCTCATGCAGCTCCCGACTGGCCCTTGCAACCTACGGATGTCATTACCACTCACAATTATGGTCTACGTGCCAACTACGGCTTTTATGGTTCATAGCTCGTGCAGTTCCCAATTCCGGCCTTCATGGCCTACAGACGTCATTATTACTCGTCAACATAATCTACGTGACCAACTATAACCTATGTGGTCCACAGCTTGTGCAGCTCCATATTTTGGTTCTCACTCCCTACGAACATCATTACTACTCACCACTAGACGTCATTGTTGCTCACCACTATAGCCTAAACAACCCATGTGGTCCACAGCTACTGCAACCTCTTACTACATCATCTATGACCAACCAACGCTCCTGTAGCAACCATCTACGACCCATCTGGCTAACTACTGTCATAGTTGTCAACTATAAATTGTATAATAAGTTGGCGCTACAACTAAGGCTGTCAATTTGGCTCGTTGTTCGTGAACAACTCGTGTTCGGCTCGTTAAGCAGCTCGTGTTCGGCTCGTTCGTTAAGCCTAACGAGTCAAACACGAACAAATTTTTAAGCTCGAAATGTAAACAAACTGAACACGAACCACAGTTTGTTCGCTCGTGTTCAGCTCGAAATGGCTCGAAAAAAAAATTAATAACTTTTTATATAACAATATATTACATATATTATTTATATAATAATATATTATATATATTTATCTCTAAGTTTAAATCATAACACCTCATGTGGCAATGTGGTTAGTGTATTTTTTTTTATATATTTGATCCAGATTCGAATCCCACATTTTACATCTATTTTTCTCAATTTAAGTTTAACAAACCAATTTTGAGCCGATATTTCGAGTCGAACACGTGTCAAACACAAACACAAATATTTAAATCGCAGCCCTAGCTACAACCACCATCTACTACCTCCGCGACAATTAATTATAGCCCTTGCAGTCTTTTGTCACCAAGAACTATAGCCAGATTACGGATATATAACATTGTAATTCCATCTCAAATTCAGGAGAAGAGTAGCGGGTTATTTTAACTGGGCTAGGCCATATAATTTTTTTGTCTTTCAGAGGTTTTCCACATAAAAAGTCGATGTGTCTCCTCCTGCTTCTCTTTAATTACATGTGTGCTGGTTTTTCATGCAATGCTAAGAAGATAATTAATCATTACTCAACCGTCGTGAATCTTCTAGCACCCATCAATTTGAGTCATCTACGAGAAATGAAATCTCGTTTGGCGTTGTCTTCAACTCTAATACACCAAGCCTCTACTTTATTTTTCAATGATGCACATCATCTAATTAGAAAAGAAACCTCTTTTGCATCTTGAAGATTATCTTTAAAGCATTCTTCAATGTGAGGGGTGACCTTCACTGCATTTTCAAAAGGTCATTCAAGCCAACATCCTGGGCACGATGCAGTAGGTAAATCTTCTTGCATCCTATTCAGATACAATGTCTTTCAAATCTTCTTCCAAGTTGTGGGGCAACCTTCATTGCAGTCTCAAAAGATCATTCACGTCAACTTCCTGGGCACAATTGTAGTGGGGTAGTCTTCTCGCATTCTATTCAAACACAAAGTCATTTACAACTTCTTACAGGATGGGGATAACATTCACTACAGTCTCGAAAAGATCGTTTAAGTTAACGTCACAGACACGACTGAGGTATGTTGTCATCCCACATTTCATTCAGACAATAATTCTTTCAGAAAAACTTTTAAATTGAGGACAATCTTTTTCACAAATAACGCTTCCTCAGCACCCCCTCGCCGTACTAAAGTTCCTCTTTAACTGGATTAGGAAGCTGATTTCTTCAAGGCTCGATAGATGAGCAACTTTACAAACTCCTGTGGACAGCGTCCCCGCTGAGGAGCAAAAGATTCAAAAGAAACAACTAACAAGTTGTCAAACATTATTCTTAAGTATGATTGTAACTATATTTCCAAGAAAACATACGATACATTGCGACCTAAGCCTCAGTTTCAAGAAACGCAGAGTATCTTTGAAACCTCATTCTAGGCTTAATTGATCACAGGGGACTCGATTCAACATCTTTCATCACAGGCTACAGTCGTCAAATAGAAGGTTCGAATAATAGCCTCGGATAGGTTAAAAATCCTTGATAGCTTTCCTTTGACCTCTTCCATAACAGGTTACAGTTGTCAAGAAAAAGTTTCGACCAACAACCTATGATAAGTTAACAATCCTGGATGAATTTCATATAACTTTGTTCATTACGGGTTAACCTCGTTGAGCATCTCCAACTATACAATACAGGATGGGTCTTACATTCTTAATGGATTTTCCTTTCAACTCCGCTCCAACATAGTCTATAGTCGTCTGACAGACGCGCTTCAACTAACAACCTAAAAAAGTTGAGCATTCCTAGTGGTAGACAAGTTCTCCACTCATGCTCCTAGAAGTCGAACCCAAGAGGCAAAACTCGATGGAAAGCTACGATGCTCCGAAAAGACAAGCCCATGATACAAGTCTCGATGGAATGTTATCATACCCATAGATGTTGAGCCCAAGACACAATACTCGATAGGAAACTACGATGCTCCAAGATGGAAAGACCATAAACCAAGGCTTGATGGGAAGTTATAATGCCCCTTGAAGTTGAAACCAAGAAGCAAGCCTCGATAGAAAGCTACAATGCTCCTAAAAGTCTAGTCTCGATGGAAAGCTATCATATCTCTGGAAGTCAAGTCCAAAAAATAAGACTCGATGGGAAGTTATGATGCTACTAGAAGCAAGCCTACGAGGCAAGTCTTAATGAGAGCTACCATATCTCCGTAAAATGAGTCTAAGAGACAATGGAAAATAGTATTGGGCAGGGTCCTCACTAAAAAGACTCCATAATAGTAAGTGGTCAATAGGGTCTCCACTCAATGACCTCAGAAGACTACAAGTCTCAGAAAACACAAATATATAAAAGACCTAAGAAGGTTACGAGCCTCGAACGACACCAACGCATTTCAAACTTTTACAAGGCATAAGCCTAAGAAGGCACAAACCATAGAAGATACAGGCCTAAGAGGGCACAACCTCAGAAGGCGCGAGCCTCAAAAGGTACTTGATTCTTTCTATATAAAGTGCACGTGTTATCTTTGATATAAAATTTTGCATGTTTGAGCAACCAAATGAACCCATAAGGCAAAAAACCTAGAGCTCGACAGCAATACGCACCCCTGAAGTAGGACAAAAATGATCCATACATTGGGCAACAACATCCTATAATTTGAGTAACCACAATTCAGAATAAAAGACGAAATCAACCTCAGAAGCAACGTCAAAGACTTACAAAGAAATAAATTATCATCTACAAATGTCACATCAGACAATTAAAGATTTCTACAGAGGCTACAAGAGGTCGACTCATCTTCAAATGATGACGAAACACATCCTCAAAATTTTGGTGCTTCTACTAATCCTTAGAGGGACAAGATTTTCCAAATAACGTCATCACAAAAGCACAGAAACATCCCCCAAAAAGCACGGCAGAAAACTCTAGTATTTCTTCATCACCTCCATAATGTGCGATAAGATTCTCCCCCAGAAAGCGCGATGGCAACAATGGAATCTCCCCTGGAATGTGCAACAGCGACACATAAATCTCCCCACAAAGTGTGGCGGGAAAACTTCAGCTTTTCTTCGTCTCTGGAATGTGCAACAACCGCACGAGAATCACCACTAGAATGTGCGACAGCAACGAGAAAGTTCTCGGATCATTTGCTAGACAGAGACGGTGACAACTTTCTTCATTTCAACAATAAGAAAGAAGATCTCCGGTCATCTACTAGACAGGGACGATGACTACTTTCTTCTGCACCGCAACACAAAAGATAATCGCGAAAGATCCCGAAGGTCCTGCTGGGCAGGATTAGGGATAACTTTTAGGACAACTTTTTTCTGCACCGCAACCAGAAAGAAATCTTTGAAGTCCGAGGATAACTTTCATGACAACTTTCTTCTGCACCACAAGCAGAAAGAAGAACGTGAAAAAACATCCCGAAGGTCCTGTTGGCCAGGATCGAGGTTACTTTTAGAATGAATTTCTCCTTCTTCATGATAGAAGATCGAAAAGAGAGAAAAAAAAAGAAATCTTTTATCGCATGATGGGCAGGGATGAAGACAATTTTTTTTCCCTCTCCTCTCTTCTTCTGGGAAATCTCAGAACACCTATTGGGCAAGGATGGGGACTCCACCCCCATCATCTCCTTGGCCTATTTATATGTTAAAAAAAATTCTGACATTGAAGGCTCATTATTAAAAAAAAAACCAAGGAAACGGCTTTTAGCCGTAAAGAAGAAAAAATAAATAAAAACAATTGAATGCAGTTGTTTCGCATTCCTAATTCCCCGGATTTGTTGTCGTCGTTCAGCCTTCCGGTCGTCTTGCTCCCTTGCATCATACATGAATTAGGTGGTATGAATGTAAATGCTGACTTCTCATAAATAAATATATATGAAAGGTCGGTGTGCGCTAACCAACCAGCCCAAAAGAAACACAACAAATAAGACGGACCAACTGAGTTGCATTTGTTTTCAGCAAATATACAATGATATAATATACAACACAAATTATATTTTGCAGAATTTCAATATTTTCGACTGATAAAATTGGTCTCACCCAAAAATAGGAAGACGATTGATACGCCATCAATAAATTCTCATCATCTAGTATGAATCTCGAGGTATGACACATATCTTAAGATAATTTTTTTTGCAAGATATGTTCAAACTTCAATTAAAATTCATTTAGAGCTCCAATTTCAGCAAACTGACAATCAAACTAAATGTTAAATCTAATGATCTTATAGTCAAGTTGAACGTCTCGATAAGACAAATCCAATGAACTCAAGATCGCTCAATTCCGACATCATTAAGTCACTCAAATGTTCATTTAACGTCGTCTACTCGAACGAATCTCTCTGGGCTGTCCGATCAGAGTGGTTCGTATTTCTTCTTTAATAGCAATCGGCACTCTATAAATAGAGTCATGCCCCCCCTCTTAAGAGAGTTGAAGAGAAAAGAGAACTTGAAACTTTAAAAAGACTAAAGCATGGAGAAGGAGCTAAAGTTGTCTCCTACTCCTACAGCTACCAACCACCGTCGACCACTACTTGTCAGCCGCCACCAATTACCATCGGTTGGAGCCCACTCCTTGCAACGAATCATTGTACGAAGTAACCTGCAAAGTGGAGCATCATCCCGAACACTAGATTGACCCAAAAAACTGTATAACAACACATCCTACAGATAGTGTAACAACGCACCCCTGATGACAGAGCAGCAATGCACCCGAAGACGGTGTAACAATGGAGCAACGCATCTTGAAGATCGGGTAACAACGCACCTCACTTATGCTCATGCAGATCCAAACTACGGCCCTCGCAACCTATGGGTGTCATTACTACTCACCAGTATAGCCTACGTGACCAATTACGACATACGTAGTCTACAGCTCGTGCAGCTCCCGTCTCCGGCCCTTGCAGCTTATGGAGGTCATCGAGGCTCACGACTATGGCTTATACGACCTACGTGTTCCACAACTCCTGCAACTCTTTACTGCATTATCTATGGCCAATCGACGCATCTAAAGCAACCATCTACGACCCACCTGGCTAACTATTATCATGGTTATCAACTACAACTTTTATTATAAGTTGTCATCGCAGCTACCGTCTATAACATTCACAACGACCCACCTGTTATTGCTAAAAATTACAGCGAGATTACAGATTTACAAAATCATACTTCCATCTACTCAAATTCAGGAGAAAAGTGGACATGTGTACTCATCATTCATAGTTGATTAATTAAACTGGGCTAGGCCCTCTGATTTTTTCTGCTTTCTGGAGTTTTCCATGTAAAAAGTTAAGTGTTTCATCTTGCTTACTTCTCTTAAATTACCTGAGTATGTGTTGATTTTTCATGCAATTCTACGACGATAAATAATCATTACTCGACCATCGTGAATATTCTAGCGCGCATCACATAACACATTTTTAATATCACATCAAAAGTAGCCTTATCATCACTTTTAAAATAAAATACACATTTTCATGCACAAGTTTAAAGCAACAAAATGCTATGTAAATATGAAAGTTTAGGTGTGAGATATATGAATACATAAGAATTGTGTGCAACGTATGTAAATTTCCCTTTACTTTCTATAAAAGTCAAGTCCACAAAGTTGTTGTCGACTGCCAAAACAAAAAGAATCATTAGTAATGAAATCAGAACCTTAATTGCTAAGACAATTATTAGTTAACAATGAGGAACTCTATCAACGACAAGTTCTACTCCCTACCAACAGTATCAAAGCTTTGAGCCATGGGGATGACATGCCTAGTGGAGACAACACCATGCGAAGGCCGGAAACCAAAGACTCCACAGTATGATGCTGGTACTCTCACACTTCCACCAGTGTCGGTACCTGTTAAGTAATTTCAGAGCATATAACTTGGTTAGAACACAAATTAATATGGATAGACCAAGCGATAATGAATTGATTCAATTAAGAAGAACAATCTTAAGAATGTAGCTTTGAACAACTATGCATATTTCATACTTAAAATAAATAAAATAAATTTTTACTTTATGAGAAATACAAATAATTTATTTGTATTAATGTTCTTAGGGGAGGTGGTAGATTCTAACTAATATTGTTTAGTATTTTTTTGTGGAGGAATAAGTGGTTAAAACTACCAAAAGGTCTAACTGATATTGTTTAGTACTTTTTTTTAGGAATAAATGGTGAAAACTACCAAAATGGTCTCTAACTACAAAGAGAAGAATACTTTTCAATAAAACATTATATTCCTAATTATTTCATCGCGCATACTGAAAGATTCTCATATGTTTTTGTAAGATTTTCTTGTTTTGCAGCTTTCTTTTAGTCTTTTCTAGCTTGATTATATTCAACTAAAATAACTGTCTAAGATTTTTTAATGATTTTAATGTATTAAATAAACGAAGGACAATTTTACAGCAAACAATAATCACCTAGAGAGAAATCAACAAGGCCTGCAGCAACAGCCACTGCAGATCCACTAGAAGATCCTCCAGGCACTCGATCTGGAGCACATGGATTAATAGGTGTCCCGTAATGCTTATTCTCTCCATTGATGCTGTAATCAAATGGAACTAAGAATGTTAACAGAACTTTAAATACCACATCAATAAGCCTTAACCACAAATACATAAAAATATATGGAATAAAATAATGAAACAAAATCAATTACATATTAACTGATGTGTTGTTTAAAATTGGCAAATAGCCTTCATCTGTTACAAATAAATGAAAAATATAAGCACAACCCTCATGTTTTAGCCTATATTCACCTATACAAAAAGATTTACAGATAAATTAACCTTTTTATTTGGTTTATGAGTATAATATCATATCATAAGGTAGCTTTGTGGCTATAAAACACCAAGTGAGTATTTTTTGCAAGTACATCAATGAAATGAATTGAAATATAAAGTTGAAATAGGAGCTAGCCCAAATTGAATATTCAGAAGCCATTCCGAACCAGAAAAAAACTTTACGAATTGATCTCCCAAAAACATTAAATAACGATTTGATTTCATAGGCTCTGTTCGGTTTGAAGGATCGTAGAGAATGTAAATGTATTTTATATCAGAATTTTATTTGAGTTCAAATGTACTGAAATATATGAATGCATGCATTTATCTATGAAAAATGAATACATTCATTCTTAAATATGCAATTTCTAAAATCATACAAGTGAATGAAAACTAAATTGAACATAATTCTTCGCCATTTCCATTTCCTCTCTTCAAATTCCTTCAAACAAAGTAGAGTCATGGTGTTCATAATGTTCATGTAAAGACAACCAAATGAAGTGACAAATGAAGCGGTTCTTCACACACTGACCTGTAGGCCATTTCATCCATCACCGTTTTACCAACACAAGTAGCTCCTGCTTGGAGAAGAGCTAAAACAGTTGGCGCCGTGGATGTGGCTGGCATATGAGTCCTTGCCCAATCTGGATTCCCGAATCCAGTAACGTAGCCATCGATATCAAATCTGCTTTCAAATAAATCGTCATTAGAACTCGCAGATAATAGCAAAATCCGAATAACAAGCTCTCATTCACAATTTAACGCCTAAAATTTCTTCTCAGATGAAGAGAGCGAGAGAGGGATAAATCAAAGGCGTGGTATAAAAGACATTCAATAGGCTAAATGCGGGATTAGGTCATAGAAGAAGGAGGATTGGTGATTCAGAAGAGGCTTGGAGGAGGAGATGATGGCTTACATGTCCTTGACAGCGAAGATGAGGCCTTCAAGTGGTAGTGACGGCAAATCTGGGGAGCGAGGCAAAGGGTAAAGGTCAAATCTTTGAATGAAAGCTCCGTACTCTTCGGCCTTTGATTCCGCCATCATCCTGCTTGTGAGCTCGCTTGGCTGGTTGGCTGTTGGTTTCCTTGTCACCCGAAGGTATCATATTCTGACCAACCAAAATATTGAAAATAATGAAAAATTTTAGTTTAGACTGTATTATTTAAAATTTAGATGAATTTATGACATTTAATTTGAGATAGATATAGTTTATATAAAATCATTTTTTGAAACATATCCTAATAAAAAATTGGCATCATTTTTTAAAAAAAATTAATATTAAAAGTGATATTCAACACTATTAGGCTTTTTTAAAAAAATTTGGACATATATTTACAAGATAAAATTAAAACAAAACTATTCATAAATTTTAATTATGTTATGAATTTCATCCATACAAAATTTTTAGATCTCTACTTGACATAAATATCTTAAATATCAAGATTATAGATTTTAAGTCGTTTTTTATTTCTAGGCATTTTTGTAGATCATAGTTTATCACAGTAGGATGATAATTTAATGTTTTAGATTTGCACGAGGATCAAAAAAACACATAAATAATAGAAAGGTAGCATGATGATACACCAAACTTTTTATGTGAAGAAACTCGAAAAGGGTGGCAAAGTAATCAACTATAAGTGTGTTGGTATAAAGATATATCGTTCTCTCAAAACTAGAAGGGTGGTGTTATTATTTTCATCACATATATCATTTGTCAGTATGCAAGTGTTACAAAAAATCATCATATTCTAACAATGATGATTGTAAGTAATAGTTGTCAGTGTTTGGTGGTTGGCGACGGCAAGTTGCAATGGTGATCGATGACTGCGGATAACGAAAGTTATCATTTGGTCTTCGATGCATATTATATACTTACAACTGTATATGGGATTTGATTTTTACAAGCAGAAGTCACCAGCAGCGGCAAGCAAGGGCAGCCGATAGTGGTTTATGGTGGTCGACGAGTAAGGGTGTAAACAAGTCAAACCAAGCTTGAGTCATAGTGAACTCGAGCTCAGCTCGTCAATCAAAATAGAAGCTTGTACTCGAGCTCTATCTCGTGTCGAGCCCATACTATGAGTTTGAACTCAGCTCATAAGTTTGCTACCGGGCTCGAGAGCTCAACTCATTTGCTCAAACTTAATGGTGGTAGCAACTTCAAGTGTTGTCATCTGAGGAAGTTGTGCCCAATGAGTGCAACTCTATAACCTTTTGATCCTATTGTTGGAATTAATGGTTCAGTATGGCTCTGCTGCTGCAATTTTTTTTTAAGAATAGATATGATAGAGATTATTATATTTTACTCAATATAATTGAGTGAGCTTGTGACTCGATGAGTTAAGCATTCATAAGCTTAACTCGAACTACTTTAATAAATAAGCTAAGCTTGACTCACAAGCTCATTAATGAGTCGAGTTTAAGCTGGCTTGGCTCACTTACACCCATACTAATAGGTGGTGGTCTATGGTGGTCGGTGACTACGAAGACCAAAACTTATCGTTGAGTCTTCATTCGATAACTAGCTCTGAAGTTTCTCTTATGCCCCCCATTTCCAAGTGAAGAGAAGCGTCTATTCATAGCCTCTGTGGGAGAGGCATTTTGGTCTTTGGCGAATAACTTTCTAGTCACCTAATTGGACTATAGATATTGATCTCCATTGATCATAAAGAAGTTTTATGGATTTAAGTATCTTAATGACTTTGGAATTGATCAATCTCATGCTTGTTGGATTTCTCTCATTGATATGCTCGATATGATTACAATATATCAAATTTGGAGTTGATTTGACCATTCAACTTAAGATCTAATGCCTTTAAATGTGCTCTAATGACTTGATATGGGCTTGATTGGACCCAGATCCAACTAATTTTGGCATGGTTGAGTTGGCCTTATCGAAAAGATCATTTTCACCATAAACTTTCTAAAATTGGGGTCATGGTACTCTTCAATTTAAGTTTAGAACATTTATTACTAAGAAAATGCATTGAGATTCATGCTTAATAAAAAATTGTTGATAACACATCACTTGTTACCTTATTTTTGAGTAATGTTGCTTTTGACATCCAAAAATATAATTTCCAAAATTCCAAAAATTTTTACTCAAGAAACTTTGTGTTGTCATGGATAATTTCATCATATTTTCATTATCAGTGTTGGTAGTGGTTGTTGTACTCATTCGGGTGCATAAGCATGCTATGCATCGGAACATGTGTAGGGTCATTCAAGCAAAATAAATATAATTATGTGTTTAAGAATGTGATGGGGTTCTTACATAGGTACGAATGCAATCAAGAGCGCAAACACACATGAGGGGGCAAACAGGAGTGAGCGTGCGTGCACGTGCTCAAGCATAGGTGCAAGCGCACATGCAAGTGTGTTGTAGCAACGACACATGAGTATGAGCATCCACAAATGTGAGCTTGAACGTATGTGCAAAGGCTATTGCAGGAGCCAATGTGCGAGCGACAGCAATAACGTGGGCATGTCTGTGTGCAACAGTGAAGGCACGCGCGTAGGTGCATATGTGCATGTGCATGCATCTTTGTGTGTGTCTCTACTCACACGTGCACTCCAACTATTTCAGAGCTAACCTCAAAATTTTTAAATTTTTTGAACTTTTGCACCAAAATTCTAAATTTTTGCTTAAAAATAGGTCATTTGTGGGGAAGAGAAAGCACATCACTCCTCTCTTGATCGAGATTTCTCTTAGGTTGTTGTTCTTCCCCTCCTCCTCCCCCTCCCCCTACCTTTACTTCCCTTAAAGTTGTTATGCCGTTGTGACCTGAAGTAGGTTGTTTTTTGCCTCCCATGCTTCACTTTCCTCTAAGATCCCAATGTCTAAGGAATCTGGGCTCCCCGAAAATCACTAAAATGTATTAAAACACTGGCAATGCATTATTGATACTCACCAAATATGCTTCGATATTTTTTTATAAAAAAGCTCTATTTTACGAATGACATGGTGATTAGGTTGTCGACTCCATCTGATCATGCTGGTTTGACTCCACCAGTATATCTCATAGTTTATGAGGTGAATTTGCACGTTGGCCTTCAATTTCCACAAAATTTTGAGCTAGTGAGTATTTTACCAACATGTAGAGTGTCTTTGTCAGCTTTCTTGTCGGGCTACGATAATCATTATGGGGTTAATTGTCCTATTCAGAGAGCGAAATGCAATAGTATCTTTGGAGATAGTGGTGATGATGGAGAAGTTTGTTTCTAATCATCATGACTAAATCACTTACAAAAGCAAATGGTTAGAATTTCAAAAAATGGATACACTAAAAAAATATGACAATTGATTCTTCTTTGTGAAAAATGATTGGGATCTTTATGAGAAAAAGCGAGAATTGAAGAAGCTACCATTTACTCTTTATGTTAAGGAAGGGGGCATAAGGAGGATCCTTAATTTTTCGTAGTATTAAAGAAACTCTACATGAGGTGTATTACCCCCAAAAAATATGTGACGAAAGAATCTTTATTCAAAATTGATCACTCCATTCATATAAGAAAAACACAGCTCTGTGATATTGAATGGGTCGAATAAATCTAGGCAAATGCCAAAAATATGCTCCAATCATTTTTCATGTGATGATGACATTTTTTCTCTCAGCACTTGATGTGCCTTTAAGCATGCTTAATTTCCTTTATTTTTTGGCACATGTTTATGGATGAAATTGCACTTTAAAGAAAAATATTTTTTATGTTTTTTTTTCTTACAAGTACAACAGGTAAGAGAACTAAAATGAAGTGGAGAAGAAATGGATGCGAAGCGGAGGTGAATTGGAGCATATATGACTAGGAGCACTGACGCCTAGGCACCAGCCTTTAGGCACCAAGGCTCTCCTCCAAGTACCATGGCGCCAGCCCTGTGGCGCCTAGGCACTACTACCCTCTTATACAGATAGAGAGGTTGGCACCTAGGTGCCAGCCTTGTGGCGCATAGGTGCCAAAACTACCTGGGGCAGTTTTCTACAGTTGCTTCACATGATACAAGGAATTAGTAAGAGCTTATATGAACATATTTGGAGATGGAATAGAGGAGAGAAGGCAGAGGATAGGGTTAATTGTTGCTGCAGTTCTAAGGGAAATACTTAGGAGTTCTTAGGGTAGAAATTTGTATTTTATTTGATAATTGTATTGATATATTGGTGAGTATTGAGAGATCGTGTAAGGGAGATACTCAGCATTGTAGGAGGCATTTGGGGATCCTTTGTGGATGAGTCTTCATCACCTTTTACAGGAAAAAACTAAGTATTGGGTTCTATTTCATATTATAGTGTTTGTAAACACATTTCTAATGTATTTGCTTTGTTTTAAAAGATGATTTGTGGTGTTCCTTTCATGCATTATGAGTAGTTTCTTCTTATTTTTCTCTTGTGATGAATAAGTTGGCAAGTAAGATTATAAGATGCTTTTAGAATTGGTTCTAAATCTCTAATGTGATGAGTATTCTTCTATGTTTAATTTACTTTTCATTATGGTCAAATGATTAATTAAAACATGTTGTGATCTATAATTACTCGGGAAAACTATGGAAGAAGAATTAGAGTATTCACATTAAACTATAGAGTGAAGCAAAGGTAGTTTGTAGGGTGATGCAAATAGATAGGAAAATAATCTTTTATGGGTTGAAGTTGGGGTTTAGGAAATTAAAACCAGTTAAACCAAACTTTTTTTATGCACTTGGAAGAAATTAAAGAATAGAATTGCTCTTATTTGTCCCTAGCAACAATTACAATTCTAAGTATTATGTTCCTACACACTACTTATCTCATTGCAAGGAAGGGTAACTCTTTATCTTGATAACCACCAATCAAACTAAGCTAAGTAGGATTTTTGAAGGACTTGACATCTACCACCAATCAAATTAAGCTAAGTAGGATTTTTGAAGGACTTGACATCTAAAATTAATTGCAGTATTGTAGTATTAGTTTGTAGAGCCTTAACCTAATCTAGATTCCAAACTAAGAATTAATCCTAGTAGGCTAGAACTTCTCTTAAGTCTAATTTTCTCACTCCCTGTGGGATCGATATTTTAACTCAAAAATCTAATATTACTGATATGACATATATACTTGTGTGAGACCCAAGAGTGCAAAAGCA